TTTTTTTTTTTTTTTTTTTTTTTTTTTTTTTCAATCACGTACCCGTGTTGCCGATGATTGTTGGCAGAGCAAGAACGACTCTGTGCTCTGAGACACACAGGAGGAGAAAACTCTTTGATACTCACGCATTGTCACGCACATGAACTAATGGCGACGTTGTCACGCACGGTAATTAAATAATGGCGCATGAGCATGAGCACAAACAAACAGAACGAATACTTTGCGCTCAAGAGAGGAGAGACGAAGCAGAGAGAAGGCAAGTGGGGGTGGGGGGGGGGGGGGCATTGAAAACGCCCCAGCATGGGCACCGAATGATCGTGTGGGGCATTGGAAATGCCCCAACATGAAGCAACATGGGCACCGAACGATCGTGCCATGCCAGGCAATGCAGCACAGTATAGCAGTATGCTTTCAAGTCGTGAACCAATTGGTCTCAACAAACCAATCACCACCTCACAGAATCTATAATCTTCCCAACCACCATATCTAGTAATCTATCCTCTGTCGCACTCTCTCTGGTGAATGATGTAGTGGTTGATTTTGATTGCAGACATGCTACAAGAACACAGCAAACCTGCGAAAAGCACAGCGTTGACGCAACCTACTCTCCCAATTAACCAGCGCAAAAGTTGGTATGCTTGGAACACAGAAGGAAACACGGCGAGCACGAAGCAACCTGCAGACATGCCAGTCCGACCTGCACACAGCGCAAAAGTTGACATGCTTGAAACACAGAAAGAAACACGGCAAGCATGAAGCAACCAACACATGTGCCAGTCTGTAGAGAGAGCCGCACATGCCCCATGCGACCAGACACGCTGCCAGGACACATGCCAGCACTGCAATCGAGCACAAGTGATCGGCGTGACATTGTCACTGCAATCGAGCACAAGTGACCAGACACGGTGCCCGCTAGTGCGCCGGGTGTGGCCAGACTCTCACAACACTGGCTGTCCGAGGAGCAACCATGGTTGCCATGGAGTGTGCCGGATACGCCTTTTTGCACGCTTGCTGCTCACGCTCACAAAACAGAGCATGAGACTGCCGGCTATGTACAATCCGATTTAATACCCAAGTACTACCTCTGGAGCACGACTGCTGCTACCCCTTCCCCCTGCCCAGCTCCCAATCCACCCCTTGGTAACCGGTTGTCATGCATTTCTGTGGTCCCCACCATCACATCAGCCTCTCGATCTTCATATGTTTGCCTTCTCCAATAGACCAAGCGGGCATGCGCTTACAAAATCACACTCGTCAGTGACACAGTGCTCATCGCTCCCAACCAACCTAATTGCTCCTCCCCTCCCCTCCCCGATTCTCCATCCATTCCCAACGCCATACCCTGCCAAGCGTTGCCTTTGATTCCTACCTGATTTCCCTCCCGATCGGTCCTTCGACTATAGCGTTCCCAACGCCATACCCGCCTATGTACATCGTTTCCACCACACACATCCCCGCGTCCTACACCACCGGCATGTCCTCGTCATCACACAATTGCTCGGCGGCTACTGCCGTCGTCACCCGAATAGAATGCCCGGTCGTGATCGCCGCATCAGGACTGAAAGTTGCACCAAATGCAGCTATGATGACCAGCCGTTCCATTCCGGTGAAGATGGCAATCAACAATCAATGGCATCTGTTTCGACGATCGGACCGTCATCCGCCTACCTTCTATACGTCAGCTTTCGACACTTTCGACGGCCCAACTTCCATCACGCTCCTGGGTAAATCCCTTCCACTTCCCATGCCCCTTGTGCTCTATAATCCCTACTACCAATTGACCTACCTACCTTAATGGTAGTCACATTCCCAGTCTGTGTCCTTCTCTCACAGCTCCAGCCCCTCCCAGTATTCCTTCCCTTGTCCTTTCTCTCACAGCTCCAGCCCCTCCCAGTGTTCCTTCCCTTGTCCTTTCTCTCACAGCTCCAGCCCCTCCCAGTATTCCTTCCCTTGTAATGAAAACTACTTCGCCTGCAATTCCTCCCTTGCAGCCAGCCTACCAATACCGATCCATCGCCTCCCATTGCCAAATCAGCTACCATTCTTGCATCTGCTGCCGATTCTTCATTGGCTGTCACTGCTGGACAATCTAGTAGCATCCCTTCATCTATCCTGTTGCTTCTCCTCTGCACCTCTTGGCATCACCACCGCATGCGCTGCCGCCATTCTTTTCATCACCTCAAACCGCCAGTTCACCCAGAGCAAAAAAAAAAAAGAAAAAAAAAAAAGAAAGAAAGTAGGGCTCTTACAGCCCACCGGTTTACGCAGTAAGTGAGCGCTTTTCGATTCGGGCATGGGCAAGTAGTAAATGATGTAGGCCACTACGAAAAGTAGAGGCCCAGATGGAACAGGGGGGGGGGGGGGGGAGGAGACTCGTGAACCTCGGATCCGAAGGTATAGCTTCTCTCCAACTTACCCTTCTTCCCCGGAAAACAACTTCCGTGTATTTAGACTGAAAGATACCCCAAATTCAGATATAATGACCGTACGTTGTATTCGGGGGCAGACTGTAGCCCCCCTGTGAGCTGCTGGTTCACAACAGAGCTAACTTGCATGCCACCTATCCCTCCCCTTCCTGGATGCCCTTTCCTCTCTTTTATGCCTCTCTCCCCTGCAGCTGATCCTGCCCCTGCCAGCAACACTCCTTTTTTTTTTTTTTTTTTTGCAACACTCCTTACTCTTCAGCCATACCACTTGGCCTCACTGCTCCCTCGTCCCATCATCATGGTCACGACAATGCAGTCCATCTCCTCGGCCTCGGCCATTAGCGATCATTCTCACAGTGGCCGACTTCACTTCACTTCACTCAGATGCCCGCCATCTCCACACTCTGACTGCATGCATCCATCGTATATCATCTATAAGCCTATAATAACCTCTGTGGCCGATGTCATGACATTACCACCTCAGGTGCAAAATCCCTGCATCGGCTGCCGTTGATGCCTTGGCTGCCAAATTGCTCCATCTGCCCCCCACTGCCACATCATTTGCCATCCAATCCCCATCAGTTTCCTTTGCCCCGTCACTTGCCACTGATGCATTTACGCTGCTGCAAATTTCGGAATTGGGTGCCATTACCCCATTAGCTGGCTGCTGCAATGCCCGTCCGCTCCTCGCCTCCACTGCTTCCCTTGTGACTTTTAATGCTGTTCTTCCTCCTGATGCCTCTTCTTCTCTCTAGCAGTCCCTTGGCCCCCCCTGCCATGCACTCACCGGCCATTGGATTCCACCTGCCAAGAGACTGCTAAGAGAACATTGTTGCAGTGGCGTCTACGACCACGCCATTGTGGATTCCATAGCTTTGTCGGCTCCCTTCCCTGCCTCGGCTCCCGTCCATAGCTCAGCTTCCATGACGTTGATTGCATCCATCACTCCATCTCGGTGAGTGGGGATGAGTGGGGATGAGTGGGGATGACATATCGGTGCCACCGGTCCATCAGTCTCTACCCCTACATCACCTGCCACCGACATACTGTATCATCCCCACTCAGCATTCCTTTATTGATTGCTGCATCGTCTTCTTCCATCGGTTTCCCTGTCGCATCACCTCCCATCACTTCCACTCCACGTGGAACAAGATGCCCACCGACTGTCAAATCACATGTCATCGCCACGTGCCCTGCTCTCCTCACAGCATCCTCTCCTGCCTGCACCATGCTTCCGCTTGACACTGGGAATCTCATCACATCCCCGTCACCCTCTCACATCTCATCATCCTTGCCCCTTCAACTCCTCCAAAAGCCCCCCTTTCCCCACTCATCGTTCCTTCGTCTTCCCTCACCCCACCCATTCCCTACTGCCAACCCTCGGTCGCACAACTCTCCTTGCCTTCCCACCACTCTGTGCCCCCAGTCCTAATGATGTGGCACTGGGGGCAAATGATGTGGCACTGGGGGCAGATGGAGCAATTTGGCAGCCAAGGCTCGAAGAGTCGCTTCCCCCCCCCCTGCCAACCCCACGTCGCACTCCACCTCGCTTCCCCCTTTTCAACAAATCGTTCATCCACCTTCACATCCCTTTCCACTCTTCGGCTAGCCATCGCCCGTTCTTCTTCTTCACTTACAACCCCTCATCGCAACCCATCACTTTTGCATTTTACCCCTCCCCCGCTCTTCTCCATCCCACCTCTATCCACCATCCCTACCCTCCTCCCGACCCTGAGGAAGCCTGTCTTCGACCTTCAAGACACCTTCCACCACCCCATCACCTCCTTCCTCTCCCTCAAGTACATGCCGTAACAATCTACTGTCTTTGACATCTCCAATACCACCACCCTCTCCCGCAAGTCTTTCATCGTCTACACCTCCCTCTTTGTCCACCGCCCCAACACTTTCCACAGCCCCGTTGTTTCCCACCATTTCCTGATCGGACATGGCTTCACATTCTTCGACTTCACACACAATGCCTTCCATCTCTCCTACCTCTCCCATTTCTCCCTCTGCCGTCCTCGAAACACCATTTCCCATTACTGTTCTATCACCCCTTCTTGCTGCTGCTGCTTGTCTTCTCTCTGCTACAGCACCACCCGCTACGTCGTAGCCTCCCACACCTCCATGACCTTGGACATCTGCATCGCCTTCCACAGAAGCAATGACATGCATAACTCCTCCTCCTCCTCCTCCTCCTCCTCCTCCCAAAGGTCCACCAGTTCCCACCACGACTTCTTCCCCTTCAGTCGGTCTTCCTTCTGCCGCCCTGCATTCAACCCAGTCCACTGATCTTTGCTCTCCGACAGCTCCTCCTTCTCCTTTTCCTGCCAGTTCTTTACCACCCAAGATTGTTTCTTCGCCATCCATTCTCTCATCCCAACGGAACGACGACATGTCTCTCTCCGCTGTTCCTCCTACTCCCCTCGCTTCTTCTTCTCCTCCCTTCATCGCCTTCACCGATCCGCCACCTCCCAACTGCACCTCCACATAGTCTTGCATGGCAACGTAGCCGGCTGCTGCTGCCACCCCCTCCCTCTGCGACACAACTCTCCCCACCCGTTGCACGGCTCGTTGGTCCTCAACGACCGCCTGCCCTTCACGTGCGGCTATTAGTTCTAGTATTTGCCTTTCCTCCGGCGACGTCACCCCTTGGCCTTCCTGTACTACTGCTACTACTACTTGGCTTTCTTCCAGCGACCTCAACTGCTTCTTCCTCCTCTTAGGTTTGCTTCTCTTAGGTCTCCTCGTTGGTCTAAGCTCCTCCTCCTCATCCGTTCTTCTCTTCAATCCRCCCCTGATCCGAATGACCTGTGCATCTTCTTCTCTCTTTCCCCCTCTCTTCTCCTCAACCCGACACTTCTTCGCATTTCTTATCTCCCCTTTCCCTCCCACCCTACGTTTTACCCCCCACCTTGCCTTCCTCTTGCGTCTCCCTGAACTTTTCCTCTCCTCCTCCTCGTTCTCCTCCTCCTCCTCCTCCTCCTCCTCCTCCTCCTCCTCCTGTTCTTCTGCTTCTACCGCCATCCCCATCACCTGGATCATACTCGCTAAGTTCATAAGCCGCTCACGACACATGCAAGTCAAGGACGATATGTGCGACGTGGCGACATCGCGGCCGACCAGGCAGGCCCTGGAACACATCTCCGTGTACCAGCTGGCGATGGAGCAAACCTGGGTATGCCAGAATGCAACCACCATGGAGACGGACATGGCCGCCAGCTTGGCAATCAGCTCAAAGTCCCCGGGATCGGGACCTGCGAAGGTCTCAAGCGGGGTCGGCGGGACCTGGTAGCTTGAGGTCGAGACTGGCGGAAGCTGGTACGATGAGTCGGGGACCAACGGCGGGATCTCGTACGTCGGAGCTACCGGCAGGGTTGCTTGTACCGCCGGATATGTCCGTACAGGGGTTGTCTGTACCTGGTACGCCGGCGCCATGGCTGGCGCTGCCGGCGGAAGCGGAGGCGGTACTCGTCGATACGCCCTAGGTGGCGTTGGCGTTGGCGTTGCCGTCGCCGTTGATGGAATGCGCTCTGGCGGCACGATCACACGATCCATGGCAGCGGCGGCAGTGGCGGCGGCGGCCGCCGCCGCCGCGTCCAAGCACTCGCCTCCGTTGCCGTCGTTCCCAATTACATTCCCGCAGTTCCCAATTACATTGCCTGCGTTGCCGCCTCAATTGCCGCCGCCGCTGTCGTCGTCGTTGTCGTCCTTGTCATCGATGGCAAAGCGCATTCACGATTGACATCACATTTCCACGATGCGGCGAACACGTATCCACTCTAGCGTTCTTTTCGATTGACACAAGACATTCCTGTCCACAACCGCCAGTCGTCAGAAAGCCATTCATTCATTCATTCATCACCAGTTACTCAAAGCGCGCCACTTATCAGCGCCACGAATCAGTGGTCACTCATGAAACCTTCGCCCCGTTCCACTCTTCCCTCCTCTTGAGATCCCCCCCCCCCTCTCCCTCATCTTGAGCTACGCACATTAACCTCCGGTCAATCTGTGTCACAAATGAACACAAAAGATCAAATCAAGCCTTCAGTCAATCAGGGTTCCAAAGGGTTCCAAAGGGTTCCAAAGGGCTCAAAGGGCCGAGGGAGGGGAGGGAGGGAAGTCATGGTTTCAGAGCCTGCACTGCCTAATCCAAACAACAACCACCCAAAAAAAAAAAAAAAAAAAAAAAAAGACAGAGAGAAACTGAGCACAAGCTAGGGTTTACGAGGGAGTATCCACCGGAAAGAATGCTTGAGATAGGCGAGAGGAAGAAAAGGAGGAAGAGGAGGAGGAGGAGGAGGAGGAGGAGGAAGAAGAAGAAGAAGAAGACGAGGTAAAACGGAAAAACCGGAGAGATGAGCCAGGTAGACAATGTTATGAAAGAGGTACAAGTGCAGGAGAAGGTGGGTGGGAGAAGGAGCTGAGTGACACATATATATTTAGAAGACTGGACCTAGAGCAGGAGGAGGAGGAGGAGGAGGAGGAGGAGGAAGTGAGTCAGGTAGACAATGCTGTGAAAGAGGAAGAAGAAGAGCAGCAGAACCAGCAGCAGCCGCAGCAGCAACAGCAGCAGGAGGAGGAGGAGGAGGAGGAGGAGGAGAAGGGGGAGGAGAAGGGGGAGATGATGAGTGACGCAGGTATGTAGGACGAGGACCAAGAACAGGAGGGAGGAGGAGGAGGAGGAGGAGAAAAGGATGAGCAAAAGATAGATAGATTATGTACCCTTGACATCGGCCCTCACAATGCGGAAAACATCAAACATGGATGCAGAGGACCAACGACGCTGCATAATGCAAATCAGAGGTTGCCACATCAGAACAGCTGAACAACGAATTGACAAATTACCACCGGAATTTTTTTATTATTATTTTTTTTAATAAGCCGGAATTAGTAATTTTGAAAACAAGACGGGGGGACCCTTTCCTCCCTTCCCTTCCCTTCCCTCCCCTCCTTCCCTGCGTAAGTTGTCAGTGACAGGCTGCTCACGTCAGAGGTTTGCCTTCACAGTGAACACGATGATTTTCTGTTTTTTTTTTTTTTCTAAAACCCCCTTTGGAAGTTGACACAGGCAAATTGACGTCTCGTTGCATTTCTAAAACCCTTCGTAAAACTCACAGGCTGCATTTTTTTTTTTTTTTTTTTTTTTTTAATGTGGCCCGATGGACCACGAATCAGATAGTAAAATGATCAGAAGAACAGATACAGTGCACTTGATCTTATAGCCAAAAGGCCGAGAAAGGTATCAGGCTGTATCTTTTCGATTTCTGGGACCCTTCGCAAATTGACAGAACGTTTTCTATTTTTAGACCCCTTCGTTAGTTGACAAACAAACTGGATCCTTGTGATAAATTCGACACCCTTCTTCTTAAAGCCGAATTCGAAATCGACAGTCATCAAAAAAATAAAATAAAAAAAATCAATGCCACGCACTACTTTCAACGACATAAAGAGACAAAAGGATACAAGAGATGAAGCAAAATCGTTCGTATGATCGATGCCGTTAAGAGAACAGAGATAGACTTGCAGCAATGCATTGCGTAGTAAACAAAGCACACACAGACACAAAGCTAGAGAGAGAGAGAGAGAGAGAGAGAGAGAGAGAGAGAGAGAGAGAGAGAGAGAGAGAGATTGTGACGACCTTCTCGATGATAGATATATGTATTCTTCTTCTCCTTGTCACCGGCATCGCTCCCTTCCTCCATACACTCTCTGCCTACCATCCCATCTCATCGCAATGGCAAGATGGAAGAGCGGACGGAGGGATGGGAGACAAGATGCCATGCACGGAATACAATGCTCTCAAATAACATGAACCGAATGCTCTCAAATAAAATGAACCGAATGTTCTCAAATAAAATGAACCGAATGCTCTCAAATAAAATGAACCGAATGCTCGGTAAAGCCGGTGTGGAATACAAATCTCCATCTGTCTCTGCATTATGAGGTCAGATGGGAGACAAGATGTTCGATGTTGTCATGAATCAAGTTGATTGCTGCTCCCCATGAATAGACTGGATCCTTCTCAATGCTGTCCCATGCACAGTCTACGGGTAACCTCTGGACGTCAGATGGACAACGGGATGTGTTTAAAAAAAAAAAAAATGTTTGAAAAATCCTCTCTCTCTCTCTCTCTCTCTCTCTCTCTCTCTCTCTCTCTCTCTCTCTCTCTCTCTCTCTCTCTCACACACACACACACACACATACACACACACACACACACACACACACACACACAAAAAAAAATAAAAAAAATAATAAAAAAAAAAAATGGAGTTGTATAGAGCGAACATGACGACACACAGAATGCCGTATGGCTGCTCACGTCAGAGGTTTGCCTTCACAGTGAACACGATGTTCTCATACAGAGCACTCACCTCCGCGGACGTGAGATGCATGGTGTCAGCTTCCAAGACCATGGGCCTCGCTGCACTACTCTCGAAATGTGCAAAACGAGAGTGAATCTTCCGCTATAATATGGAAAGATACACCGCCTTGATTTTTGTCTTTTGTGCATGTCGAGAGTAATGCAGCGAGGCCCCATATGACATGCCCGCTCGAGGAAGCACGCGCTGTCCCTTGGCTTTCATGAACACAGCGCCCGTATTTAGGTTAACCCTTTGCGCGCCAAGTTCCCGTACGACTCTCAATGCGTGGCCAAAACCCCGCTCATGTATCTCTACGTGCTGCACTTTTTTTTTTTTTTTTTTTTTATTGGGTTGATCACAACTGTCTATATTCTTCTCTCAACTTCTGTTTTTGTTTGCCTTCCACTACCTACTCCTAAGACTATCTAGAGGGGACCCCTGCAAGCATAGTTTTCCTCTCTTTGTGAAGGGGGGATTTCATGTTGC